TTCCTGACACAATCGCTAAAGACAAAATGGGTGCATAAGCAAATGTGGTGAAGAAAGCTGATGGTTCCTGGCTATTAAAAGATACAGTAGAGACATTTTTGTTGTTGCCCAGGTGGTGTGTTCATTTAAACTGGTAATTGAGACACTGAGGGAAGCTGAAGTAGGAGTGCTCAAGGATTCTTTTCATAACTTTGAAGTTGAAGTTTGCCGCTAAAGATGGCAGATGGAGATGTCCTCACCGAGGTTCCTGCAGCATGGGAGAGGTTAGCCAAGTGTGTGCTCCAGGGATGTTACGGCCTTGAGCACGCCTTGGCCTTGGACATCTTGATTCAGAACCCCTGTGTGAAGAGGGGGACATGCTGGAGCTGCTCAAGCTGGATCTGAAGCAACTTTGAATAGTTTAAGGGAGATAAATTCATCAAATGCAGAATGAGAGTAGAGACTGCTGCAAATGGGAAAACCACTCGCCATAATCACTACTTTATCAATTATCGCCCTCTCGTTAAGGTGGTCAGATATAGGTTGGACCACACAAGAAGGAGGATCGAAACTGAGAAGAGAGATTTTGCCAACCGGGCTTCCTTCAAGTGTCCTTTCTGTAGTAGTACTTTTACAGACTTAGAAACAAATCATGATCCCATGACAGACATTTTCCACTGTACTTTTTGTCAGATAGAGGTGAAGAGGATGAATCAGCAATGCTCCCAAACAAATGCACTCACACTTTTGAAAGGTTTAATGAGCCTATTTATTCACTGTGTTGGGAAACAGAGGATGTGAACTTGACCTATGAAATATTTGAACCAGAGCCCACAGAAATGCCAGCCTTGAAGCAAAACAAGGACCGTGCAGCAGCTACTGATAGAGCTGTTGGTGCATCTTGGCACCACCGAGAACTTGGGCCACCAAAGGCCCCTCCTATGAAGATTTATACACTCAGAATGTTGTCACTAACACAGTTGACCAAGAAGATAGTCATTGAGCCCCCCTGGAAGGAAAGTCTGCCAAATGGAGACCCATTTGGTTGGGAGAGACCACTGTTCAAGGAGCATGCAGGTCCGAAGACAGGAAAGACCGTGGCCTAGACATAAACGCAATGCAGGGTCGTGCAGGTGGCCGCTCAGGGCCAGATGATAATGAGGGAGTCATGAGAGCACTGTTCATTCACATGAAGACCCCCTCTCCCCTGGCTGGTTCCATGGGGGCAGCTGCTCCTGCGACCGCTGCCAACAGAAGCCACTCAGCGAATGAGGCCAGTGAGTGCGATAATGACTCCCCACCATGCCTAGCAGCTGTGGCTCTGCACCGCAGGGAAGAAGATGAGGAGGAGGAGGAGTTTGAAGAGGTGGTCGATGACCCTGTGGTCACAGAGGCCGGCTGTCCATTCTCCTTCAGTGAAGTGAGCCAACGGCCGGAGCTGGTGGCCCGATGACACCCGAGGAGAAGGAAGTCTACATAGGCACGTGACCATGCATGCTTGAGGACCGTCTTTGAGTGAGCTTCCTTGGCCCTTTCCTCCTGTCACCAACGATCCTTTCAAAAATAAATTCCCCACCATTAAGAAAAATGTTAAATTGGCTTTTACCCCCTCTCTCTCTTTTTAATATAGACAACGTTTAATTGAGAATATGAATAAGCCTTAGAACAATTATCTCTGTGTGTACTTCATCTTCAGAAGTCATCGTGCTCTACATTTACTGAAAATGCTTTGTTTTTTGATAGTTTTGTTGGGGGCTCTGACAGCTCCCACATCCATTGTATCAAGCACATTTGTATACGTTGCCATCGTCATTTCCAAAACATTTTCTGCTTGAGCCCTTGGTCCTTTTTTTTTTTTACTAATATAGAGATTTTATTTAAATTGTATTGAGATTTTACAGCACACTGTACGTTTGTCACAACGTGACTGCACAGTTTGGACTTTGGGCCATCTCATGTCACTTAACACCCACAAGAGCTCTGAAAGAGTATTTGATGAATGCATCTGAGCTCTCCAAGGCCATGCCGTTTGCTCACTGATAGGACAGCCCCTCAAAACAGCCGCACGAGATGGACAGATACAGTCTCCCCAAATGTTACCACGCTTGCTCCCCCTGAAAATGGGCAGAGTGAAGTGCAATGAAAGTCAAGTTAATTAAAAAGCCACTCCCAACTGGCAGTAAATCTGAATGATTGAGAGAATGCTCAACATGAATTTTATGTATCAGAGACCAGGAATAGTTTGTTACTTTTTCAATGATCTCAGGAATTTCCCAGACACAAAATCTCCATTATTCAACTCCATCTAAATGGAAAAGAAAAAAAAAAAGTTCTGCTAAGCTGACCTAAATGCGCCACAACTTTTTAGGTCACATCCGTGTCAAGGGTCAAAGCAGCACAGATGCTTCTCCGTAGGGCTGGGAGAAGGTCAGGACAGGCAGCAATCCTTGTTCTAAATACAGAGCCTAGTTCTTTGTAGGTTTTTCTAGAAAGTATCATGAAAACAGCAGTTAGATGACTACCATATCTTAAAAACAGGATTAAGCCTAAATGTAATTCACCTCTTATACACCAAAAATTCAAATTGTATAAACAAATTCCTAGCGGTTTCATTATAGGTCAAGGAGACTGTATCTGTTCCAACCACAGCACATGGCTATATCACTGTAGCTTTTGGTTAAGTGCCACTGGTACATATTAAGATGGAAAAAAAAAGAATAAAAAGAAAAACAATGTTTGGTCCAAATGGACACATTTCCCCAATTTTGGTATCAATGCTTTATTTCCTTCTGTTTGGGTTCCATTGGTAAGTGCACAGAAATAGACAGCAGCATTTGTACTGAAACCCTCACAAACCAAACAACATATTCCAGGAGGTGAAAAATCAAACCTAAAACCAATCCTCAAGACGTCAAGTGTTCAGGATCAGAAGCAGTGTGACCCAGAGCGGCGGCAGCCAAGGGAAAGACAACACGGGGGAAGTGAGCGATGGAACACACCAAAAAATGTTTATTTCATGCCTGGAGAGGACCAAGGTGTAGCTCCTGTGTTAGCACCAGGACAACTAGGAAGCCTGGTTAAAGGGGCAGGGCACAACTCAGCAGATAGTTCACATGGGCCTTGTTTGCTGTTCCTCATTCCTCGCCCTTCACAGTGCTACCTCAAGAGCTCTCGCTGCGCAAAAACAGAGAGCCCTCACAGCTCCAAAGTACTGACTTTCCTTAAGATGGGCTGTCAGCAGAGCTTTCCTCTGCTCCCCAAATGTCTGACCCCTAGAATGGTGCCCCTAAGTTGAATATTCACTGATGCTGGTCGATGACCAAAGGGCAAAAGGGCCTCTGAGGAGGATGACTCGGATGCCTGGTAGGGAGGAGCAGACGCTGACTATGCGGATGGGTGTGAAGCCAAAGTAGTAGAAGTAGCAGAAGAGGAGGAAGTAGCTGATGTTGAGGAAGAAAAAGCTGAGGATGACGAGGACGATGAGGATGGTGATGAGGTGGAGGAAGAGGCTGAAGAGCCCTCCGAAGAGGCCACAGAGAGAACCACCAGCATTGCCACTGCC